TTTCCGATGCGTCGGTTGCATCGAGCAAACAGAACACAATTGTTACGCCTCGAGACAAGCCGTATGGGACGCTGCTAAACCGTATGGGAAGCTGCTTAACAATAGGAGGCAGCCATCGCTCTGTTCAGATGCAAGAGCGATTTGAAGGAGGAATCCGTCATATGAAGTCATGCCAGGTCAGGGTTGAGTTGAAGGCCGCCGAAGACCGAGCACGGGCCGCATATGCGCGCGAGGTGGAAGCCCGTTTGGGCGCGGGTTGCCGCCTGAGGGGCGTGGAGAACGAGGCATTGGTTTAAAATGTGACATATGCTGAGGGCGCTACCCGAGCGGTCGAGACTGTGCTCGCGAGGAGTCGCGGGGCAGAAATGGCCGAGGCAGTGGAAACACGCGAGACGAAATTCAGGGCTGAATACGCAGGCAGAGTCCAACGGGGCGGTTTACTCGCCATGAGACCGGATCAAGAAGGGAAGGCCGAGACAGAAAGATCATGTTTTTCCTTGCGAGTCCGGCTATCCCAAGCTCAGAGTGCGAGCCACGCGAAACAGGCCCCTTCCATTGCAGCCGCGTCGCAGCTGGCCTGCGCGCGGACCGCTTCTACGAGCGGAGGTGCCGCTTCGCTGCTGGCGTGGCGCAAAGTGGTCGAGTGCTATTTCTGCCAGAAGCCGCTGCATGCTGGTTGCGCGGGGGCGTGCCATAGCGCCTTGCAAAGGCCACTTCGCCGCGGGGGCCAGTAGTTGCAAGCCGCGCGCAGATGATAATGCCGAGGGAGAACACAGGGCATATGAGAGAGCTCAGGAGGACAAAGAGCTCCGTCGCAGGAAGGCGATGGAGAACGAATAACATTGAAGGTCTGAGCAGGAGGGCCGCTTTGCTGCCAGAAAGGAAGTTCGCGACGATTCTGCGATGGAGGCTCGAGTTGAGGACTTGGAAACAGGTGCAACTGATCCAAGTGCATAACGTGCATTAGTGCTCACACTGGTGAATGCTGCTTACAGGGCGGAGGCGATGGCCGAGCGAAGCTGCGAGGTGGCCACTGAACGTCAGAAGAGTCGAGAAGAAAACGGTCACCGCTGGGCCGAGCCCAATCTCGAGTTAATGCTGGCAGAGCTTATAAGTCCCTGGGAGAGCATGGGCTCTCGAGGCCAGAACCGAAGACGCCGAAACGCAGGCCGCTCGCGAATCACCCCCAAACGGTGTAATTAATCTTCGACGATGTTTCGAGAACCCTGGTGAAGCAGCGCCCGAGGCATCCGGGCGCGGCCGGCCGGGCGGCGATCTCGGCGATGGGGGCGGCGGGGATGACGGGAAAAACGTTCCGCCCAAACATGGGTTCTTCCCAGTGGTGGGGCCCGACAGGGAGGATTGGAACATTTGGCAAGGAAGCGTTGTGCCGGGTGGTCCTGAAAGCCTTTCGGAAGGACCCGGAGGTCTGCTCGGGGGCGGGGGGCCTCGCTGGGGTGAGTTGATGGCCCACCCGGAGGCTCAGGCGAGCGGCTACCCGTGCGTTAGTAACCCAGCGCGCCGAGACACCCCGCCATTTTGTCTGAGCGTGCGCATGAGCTCTGTAGTCGTCTGCCGCCAAGTACATTCTGACGTACGCGTGCGCTGACGACTTTCCCCTGGCGCATGTGCTACCAAAATGTTGCATGCAATATGTGGCGCGCGTATCGCAACAATCAGTCGCGTAGGTCTGCACATGTGCGGATGTAATTTGGGCCGTCCGCGTATTTCATGTATGCGTTGATCCAGAAGGCGCATCCCTCTTGGCCTTGTGGCCCGGGCAGCTGTGATCAAAATGTGGCAGCCCACGGTAGTTGTTTGGGAAATTGGCAAGCGCGTTTCAATCGTGCCAACTAACAGACAGCTGCGCCGAGCAAACTGAGAGCCAAACTGTTTGATCCTTCCCGCTGAAGGACCTTGACAGTTTGAGGTCGGGATGCCTGCCTGCCTCGCATAGGCATGGGGTAATGAACGCAGGGGGAGGAAGAGAGGTGGAGAGGAAGGGAGGGGAGAGGGAGAATTGGATGAGGATGACGATGACGATGCAGAATATGATGCTGATGATGATGATGCTGATGCTGATGGTGATGAGGATGTTGGTGATGCTGGTAATGCTGATGATGCTGATGATGATGATGATGGTGATGATGACTGTGGTGATGGTGATTGGTGATGATGCTGATGTTGATGCTGATGATGCTGGTGATGCCGAGGCTGCTGCTGATGATGATTATGATGATGAGAGGAGGAGCAGCAGGAGGAGGAAGAGGAGGAGGATTGAGGTTGGCTGGCTACGGCATTGAGGCGGTCCTCGTGCCAAGCTGCGTCAGCAGATGCTCAAATTAATCGCTTAAACTTATGCGACAGGACAGTTTCCGTAGTGCACCTCTTATTCAGAGCGCCGCCCCTCATGTCGAGCAGGGGCTCATGGCCCTAAGGCCGGGCTTGCTATGGGGCGCAAGGCCCGCCCTGCACACAAGCCTCAAGGCGGGGTTGCCAG